CAGATCACTAGGTATAGGGAACCCACCCGTTTGTGCTAGCTTGCTCTTTTCTAGAAGAGGTGTTACTCCTCTGGGTCCTCAGACAACTGAAAGACTTTGTGGTTGTTCTAAAGCAAGCACTCACCAGCTCCCCTGTGTTTCTGGAATGATGGGGGGGGGCATTTGCTCTGGAGAGTGCTGTGTGTGGTATAGAACCCTACAGAGCCTTCTGAAATTCCAGATAAAGTGGTGCAGAATCTAATGAAGATAAAACCAGAAGCTTGGCCAGCAACGCTGAGAGGTGGAAGACAAACTGGTCTAGCTGGCCGGCCTCTTGCTCTTTTCCATCAGAAAACCTGGAGTAATTGGTGAGCAAAGTAGAACTCTGTCCAACCAGTCAAGCCTGAGCAAACGTCCAAAACTCTTTTTTAATGGGACCAGCAGTTAGCATAATGGCTATGTCACTGAACTCCCATGTAGTCGACCGTGGTTCGCGTCCCAGACCCGGTGGCTTAAACTCACGCTGGGCACATGGGCGTGCGTGCCCAAGATCCCGAGAGGGGAATGGAGGAGAAGGGATTGTGGTGTGGCCATCCCCCCTGGGGGGTGATTTCTTGCTTTCTGTCTCTCTGTCTCTGTCTGCCTGGCAAGCGCACGCACCTTATAGCAAAAAAACCTCTTAAAAAAATTTTTTTTTAGTAAGATAGGTTAAAACATGTTAGCTGAAGTTTCTGGAATTGAACTTTCCAGATCTCCAGGTTAAATAGTTGAGAAACTGCCAAAGACAGAAGCGGGAGATTTTGGCACCAAGTTTATATTGCTGCTCACGGTTAAGGAAGTTTCCTCCTCTGCTGCGGGGCTGTTGGGGATCTAGGAATCTAATTTCTGAAAGTCAGCAACATAAACATGCCATTTGGGTTTGCAGAAAGCCATTGGGTCCATGACCCTTGCCAGCCAGTCTTCCCTGAATCCACAGAACCATCATTTCGATCTGGGCAGGTCTGGGATGAAAGAACTGAGAGGCATACAGATCCCGGACCCAGGCACAGACCCAGGCAGAGCACAGAGGCCAAGGAGGATGTTTCTCGACTAGGATTTCAGGAGTCCTTTGCTGCCCCCTTTGGAGGGCGAAGGAAACTTATTTAATCCAGTCAACTCTGACCGCATCGCCTACCCACTCATGCAAGAACTCAATTCTCTAGTCTTCTCAGGGAGTTTCAGGGTACCATTCCCAGCTCAGCTCCACAGGTAGGAGAATGGAAGGCATAAATTAAAGGCCACATTACCAACCCTGTCTCTGCAGCATTTTTGGAGCCTGTGTGTGTGTGTGTGTGTGTGTGTGTGTGTGTAATTAAGAGTAGAAGGGGAATGGTGGGGAGCTCACGAGGACTTTTTCATGATTGTTCTTGATGTTTTGGGGTGGTGTCCCTGTTCAGATCTGACAGCCTGTGTTGGAATGATGTGAGCTGTGCCCCCTTTTTTTCTGCTGCTGTATTTCAGTCATACAGAAAGGTCATGAGAAAGAGACCGTCCAAGAACCAAAGGTCTGAGCTTCTTCCGGATCCTCAGTTACTGGTTCCTAGACCTTTCTCATTGGGACCTCAGCTTTCAGCCCGGTAGGCTGGAGGGAAGGTAGAGGCTGTGTACAGAATGTATAATTACTAAACTACATTTCCCGTAATGCCATGGGGCTGGAGGCACTTTTTGGCGAGGGATCCCAGTGCATTCTGGGAGTCGTAGTCCTGGGGCCAGTGAGGACCGAGGCTCCGCATCTTCCAGACTAGACAGATGCCAGGTTTTCCAAAACTGGGGGGCATCTAATCGGAAGTCTTGGCCCAAAGGAAGGAAGGACCGTAAAAGCCCGAAGCCCCGTCCTCGGTTCTGGAAGCTGTGGGGCAGACAGGCAGCTTCCCCTTCGGTGGGCGCTGGGGAGGTTCCAATCTGAAAGAGCGGCCTCCTGTGACGTCATGGGCGGTGGGCGGAGCCTCCTTTTGTTGCAGTCCAATGAGCGTTGGGTTTCTGGTCGACGGCGCTGGGTCGAGGGAAACTCCGGGGAATCTCTCAGGGAATTTGGGGGTCTCCCATGTGGGGAGCTCCACGGGCGGGAGAAGCTGTAGGGCTCCCTTGCAGAGAGGAGACAAAAAGCTCTCGACTGCCTGCGACCAGCCTCACCCTCACCCCCTACCAAATCCTTCATTTTAGCTTTGGGCAGATGCAAGGGAAGGGCGGGGCGCCGGCTTTCTCTTTAAAAGTCCTCGCAACCTGAACTGGACTCCTCGGCAAATCCTACTGTTTGAGGACACAGATCAGGGCCCGGGGTTGGGGAGCAGTTGTTAGGGTGCATCGGGACTCCTCTGTTTTCCAAGGAGAACGGCGTACCCTGCAGATTGGGTGCACGGTGGAGGTCGGGAAGGGCGGTCAAAGGCCCTTTGGGTCTGAGGACGGCTTGGAGTCCTACCCACGTTTGTACCGCCAGTGTCTCATCAATCCCCGGAGTTGGGGACCCCGCGGTTTGGGAATTCGGGGTGGGATGGGGCTCCGGGGTCTTAAATTTGAAGACTGGCGAGTACATCCTGTTGCTTGCTGATCTCTCAATTGGGAAACCGTAAATTTAGTGTCCCCTGGCTTGGGGATTCAGTTCCACGTCTCAGGGACAGTTGATACAGGACAATAAGTCCTCTTTATTTGGAGGTTGGTAGATAGGGAACCCAGCAGGATCCCCAAAGATGCGTTTTGGCACTCTCCTGGCCTTGGTTTGGGGTGAGAGGACACTCCCTGGCGGTCCTCAGGGACTGCCAGCTCTGGCCACAATGGGGCCAAGTTTTGTGCTCCGGTGGGTAGCACTGCTGGCCTGCCTGCTTCCTGCTGGGGGCTGTGTCATATGTGATCCCTCCGTGGTGGCAGCACTGAAGTCCTTGGAAAAGGATTACCTGCCTGGCCACCTGGATGCCAAGCATCACAAAGACGTGATGGAAAGGGTACAGCACGCTGTGAGGGATTTCAATGACTTGCCCATTAATGAGACGTCCTACATGGGAGCTGTTGGTGAGGGCAGGGCTGAGTGGGGCGTTCCCGGGTCCTGGAAGAGGAGGGGGCTGGGGCCAGGACTGCTGGGGCTAGGGAGAGGAAAGGGCTAGGCCAGGGTTTCCTGGGTTTGGGAATGGAGAAGACTGGGATACAGATCCCGGCATTCTCAGGGGCTAGCAGATACTTGCCTCTACTCCTCATTCAGCAGTTTTATGTACTAAAACTACAACTCCCAGAAGGCAAGGCGAGGCCAGCCTCTTAACCAGGCCTACCCTTGCCCAGTGGCTTCCTGAGTATTTTAGTTTCTAAGCTAGGCGAGCCCATGAGACACTAACGCTGAGATCCAGGCTTTATCTCCCCCACAGATGAGGCCACACTAGAAAAGGCATCCTGGAGTCTGCTGAAGGATTTGAAACGCATCACAGACAGTGAGGTAGAAGGTAAATGCACCAAGGGGGGCTCTGTGCTCTCTCAGAAAAGCCATTGCTGGTGATGCCTGGCCTCTTGGTCAGATACTCAGCTCTGGAGCCAGACTGCCAAGGTTCAAATTCCGGCTCTGCCACTTGCTAGCTGCATGGTCTTGAGCAAGAGTCTTCGCGACTTCCACAGCTTTATTTATTTATTTTTTTTTTGAGAGTTTTTTTGCTATAGGATGTGTGTGCTCGCCAGAAAGACAGAGAGACACAGAGAAACAGAAAGAAAGCGAGAAACCACCCCCAGGGGGGATGGCCACAATCCCTTCTCCTCCATTCTCCTCTCGGGATCTTGGGCACGCACACACACACGCCCAGCGTGAGTTTAAGCCATCAGGTCCGGGACTTGAACCGTGGTTGACTACATGGGAGTCCAGCGACATAGCCATTATGCCATCTGCTGGTCCCATTTCAGCTTTATCTTTTTAAACTTTATTAATTATTATTATTATTTTAATTTGCTATAGTCATCAGAGAGAGCGGGGGAAAGTGAGAACGCAAGTTGCCAGACCTAGGACTCAAACAGGTCGGCCATGTGGAAGCCCAGCGCCTTAACCACCGCGCCACCTACTGGCCTCCTCCGCTTTATTTTATTGTTTTTTGCTTGTTGTTTTTTTTTTTTTTTTTAGTTTTTTTTACTGTAGGGCATGTGCTCTGGCTGAAGAAGAGAGAGACAGAGAGATACGGAGAGAGGGAAAGTGAGAAGTCACTGCCCAGGGGCATGGCCATGCTGCAATCCCTTCTCCCCCATTCTCCTCTAGGAATTTGGGGTACACATACACACGCACCTGGTGTGAGTTTCAAGCCACTCAGTCTGGGACTCGGACCATGGTCAGCCATGGGAGAGTCCAGCTGCCTTGCCCACCAAGGCACCTGCTCACCCAGCTCCCTCCGCTTTGTTTTTTTTGAGAGGTTTTTGCCATAGGGCGCGTGTGCTCACCAGATAGAGACAGAGAGACAGAAAGCGAGAAATCACCCCCCAGAGGGGATGGTCACGCCGAAATCTCTTCTCCTTCATTCTCTTCTCGGGATCTTGGGCACGCACATACACACGCACCCGGCATCAGTTTAAGCCACCGGGTCCGGGACTTGAACCATGGGCGACTATGTGGAAGTCCAGCGACATAGCCACTATGCTAACTGCTGGTCCCCTCCCTCAGCCTTAAAATGCCCTGAAATAGAGACCATGATTGCCTTCCACCCTCAGTTGTGACGATGAGATGTGTATTGCTTTGCTCCTTGGTCAGGGCTGTGCTAACTGGTCAGTTTCAGGGCTCTTCCCTGGGAAGGCCAGGGTGGAATGGCGGCTCTGAGTCACAGGAGACTCCTGCACCTCTCACCTAGGATCGCACCGTCTCACTTCCTCCCAGGTGAGCTCTTCGTGAGGGAGCTGTTCTGGATGCTGCACCTGCAGAAGGCCACCTTTGCCACCTTTGCCGCTCAGTTCCAGACAGAGGGTGAGGGCAGAAGCAAATCAGGGACCCCAGCGCCTTTACTGTCCAAAGTCCCTATCCCTGGCCAGTTTCTTCTCAAGTCCTGTCCCGCTCCTTCCCTGGTCCACTGCTCCCTTAGACCCAGGGCCTTCCCGCCTCAGACACAGTAGCCTTCCCCCACCCCCTCTCCCATCATCTATAATTTAGAAATCTGACTCTCAACGCCTCACTGTCTTTTCTCCCTGCTTCGGAGGCAGCTTATTGTCCCAACAAATGTGGTGAGTCTGGATTACAGAGGCCAGTCCTCTATCCCCCTTCCCTGACCTTCTTGGACCACTGTGGTTTCTTCATTTTCGGCCTCTGAAGGGTCCCTGGTCTCCAATACTCTTCTACCTTGCATTTCCTGGGGAGCAGGTTGGATGCTGTTTGAGCTCTTTTCTGAGCCTGGCGCAAGCAGGCCCGTCCCGCTGCTTTCTGGCCCCGCCCTTCGCGCTGAACCCTGGGGATTTGGTGCGTGCGAGGCCCCGCCTCTTCTCCCTAGCCCCGCCTCTTAGGGACGAATAAGCGATTAGACCCTGCCTTCCAGGAATGATGTTGCAGACTCTGATCTGGTGCGATAACTGCAAGAAGCAGGTTCATGCTTGTCGAAAGTCCTACGATTGCGGGGGTGAGGGAGGTGGACCCACAGGAGGGGATGGTGCATGCGGGGCCAGAGGACAGGCGGACTCTGGAGAGAGCCAAAACTAGCAGGCTGAAAAGAAAAGGCGGGCCCCACAGATACAATGAGTGGAGGGAGGGTACAGAGCCCTGAAGGAGCGTCCCCAGTAACCCCCATTCCCAGGGCGCCAAGTGGAAGTCTATGAGATGGAAGACCTGATCCTGGACTGTGAGCTGAACTGGCATCACGCCTCTCAAGGCCTCACGGAGTACAGTTTTTACAGGGTGGGACCCTCCAACTCCTGTAACGGTTGGACTCCCTTTCCATCAGGCCTGTGTGGGCCCCTGGCCCGTAGATCCACTGGCCCGCACCCACACCCACGACCCATGACCAATAGGTGTGGCTTCTGCTGACCCCAGGAGACCCTATACCCTGACCAGTGACACCCTGGACTCCCTCTTCCCACACTGAGGCCCCATGACCTCACCCCTGTACTCCCCTAACCCCTGAATTCCCCAGGCCGCTGAGACCCCTTGAGCTTGGGTCTAGGTTTGGGCGAACGATTCTGAGACCTTGGTGTCCAGGAAGAAAGAGCCCACCCTGACCAAGCCGATGGTGGGTCCAGAGGATGAAGGCAACTACCGCTGTGAGCTGGGCACAGTGAATTCTGGCCCAGCCACGATCATCTATTTCCATGTCACAGGTCAGGGCCACGGAGTTCAGACAAGCATGGGATGGAGGGCCTGGGAAGTTGGGGTGAGCTCAGGGGTGTGGTCTCAGCTACAGAGGGGCGACTTCCGGTTGGGTGTGGCTTCAGGCTTTGGGGCGTGGCCTCCAGCTGTAGCAAAGGATGTGTGGGGATCTTGTGCAATTGGAGGTGCTGGAGGGCCTGGGTGCTGGGCTGGCTTGCCTTTGGGGGGCCAAGGAGGGCCTCCAAGCCCCCCAGGACTTCGACCTTCCTCCATCAGTGCTGCCCGAAAGGGTTGAGGAGGAAATACCGTCACCGAACATCATAACCGAGGGTGAGGTGACCCCAGTACACCCCGAGTCGTCCACAACAGTGCAGTCTTTGAGGCCCGAGGACGTGCTGAGAAGCCGCCTCCTCGGGCTGCTGATCTTGTGCTCTGCGGTGCTGGTAGCCGGCATAGCCTTCGCGTGAGCATCCCTGAGAGGGCAGGGCTTGGGGCGAGGGGCAGGGCTTCCTGCAGCGCGTGCCCAGGGGTCCGGAAGCTACTGAGAACTGAGCCCTGTGCTTCCCCTGGGGCGGGGCTTACTTAGGAGCATAAGACTTGGGTGATCGCTAGAATAAGGTTAGATGGGGGGGATGCTGAGAAGGTGGCCCTCGCTCGGTACCTAACTTGGTCCCACTGTTCACACCCCCCCAGGATAGCTTCCCGGAGTAAGGTGGTAGGTTTCATTAAGTCCTCACTGCTGGCGGCTGGCGGCGGAGCTGCACAGCACCCCCGGGTTCCGGAGGAAAAGGCCACAGATTCGAGGAGCCAATAAATGTTTACCTTGTTGTCCAAGTATCTGACTCGTTCCTGACTGCGCCTACCTTTCGGTTCCTCCAGAGGATCTCTGTCTGGGAGCATCCTCCTGCCCGAGGGAGGAGGGGCTGGACACCTGGGCCCCTGGGCCCTGGAGACCAACTGACTCGGGTGTAATTCCAGAATCAAGGAACAAGGCTGGGCCAGCCCTCCCCAGATCTCCTCCCCCAGGCCTGGTCTCCCCACAGGACGCCCCCTCC